GTCCTGATCTGTAACTTCAGAGACTTCCATTCCAAAATACTAAGTTATTTCCATATCATCTATAGCAAGACAATTAATGAATAGATAGATCTTCTCTATACATGAAAGAAAGTTGTCAATCCTCCAAATAGCATTTAACTGTTATGCTCAACAGAATGATTCATCTAGACACAAGGACTTGCTGGCTCATTTTGATACCAAGCTGTAAGCAGCGCAAAAGACATAAAGGCTCCTTAATCTGACTCGTATGCAAAAAAGAAACTTGGGAAATAGATCAAACTAGAGAATCTCTCGTTATCAATTAAGACTGACCCAGTTTGCAACTTTTAGGTCAGTTGATGGGGTTCCGCAGCAAATACCATTTTGTATCGGATCTCGAAATTTAGTTCATGTCCCAATATAATCAGATCTACATTTATAGTTCACATACACAATACAAAGATTACGATTTAAAAGCATCCCTATGACTCGAGCTCAAATTCCATGAAATTATTATTGACGATCCAATAACTACGGAGGAAAATAATCATAAAATCCATGAAAATTCACAAAAAAATAAACCTAACGAAACAAAGATCACATCCTTCTAATCTCAAGTAAATCAAGAAAAAACTTGATCTTTACACCATTCAAGATGACCGTGACAAATCTCTATCCCTGTCCTCAAGCCATTTTTATCATACAAATGTTAGGAAATAAAAGGGAAATAATAAAATTAAAAGACAACGCACCGAAACGAAGGCGGGATAGAAGATGACTTGAGCCCGATCGTTCAGCACGTCGACGGCAGCGTCATGGATCCCAGGCAGCCGCTTGATCGCCTTCTCCACCGACCCAGCGCACGCCGCACACGCCATCCCGACGACCGAGAACAGCGCCACCCGCTTCTCCTCCTCCTCCGCTGCCTCCGGCGTCGCCTCCAGATCCCCGCCCCCGACCACCTCAACCGTCGACTTACGCCTGGGGTACTTTGGCATCGACGGGTAGTGCGGCCTCGGCGAGAGGCTCCGCGAGGCGAAGCCCTCGCGGCCGCCGCCGCCGAGGCACGACATCAAGAACCCTTTGCTCACCATTCGCCTCCCTCCCCTTTCTGCGCTCCAAATTTTCGCTGCAAAAGTTCTCAAAGTTTGAATCAAAATGTAGTTCAGATCCGGCGGTGCGAGCCTTCATTTAAAGCGGAGGGGAGTCGGAGAGTCTACCGATCACAGCCGTTCATGGTGATCTTTCGTGAATATTAAAGCACTCAGCGTGGGCATCATGCAAACGTCGACGGCAAGTTAGTAAGCCTCTGGGCTGTGGGTGGTGCGCTGGCACGTGGTCTCATGCAAGTTGGGCTTTCGTTAATGGGCCCACGAGAGTTGACATGGCGCGTAACCGACAATATGTTGCAACAGAACCACCATTACTTTATTAAAGCTACCGATCACAGCCGTTCATGGTGAACTTTTGTGACTATTAAAGCACTCAGCGTGGGCTTCAAGCAACCTTGGACGGCAATTAGTAGGCCTCTGGGCTGTGGGAATGTAGTTGGTGGCCTTGTGCAGTAGATTGACACGTGCTCTCATGTAAGTTGGGCTTCCGTTGTCGGGCCCACGAGAGTTGACTTTGGCGGGCGGAACCTTCTGGAGAAACCGAACCGCCATTACTTTATTATCAGTGTGACATGAATCGACCGACTCACCCCTGAAATTGTCTCGGGGTTGACGTCGCCTTCTCATGAACCTGCACGAACAGGTCTGTGGGAGATGACGCCGCCCTGAAAAAGTCTCCAGGTAGACTTTTTTTTCGAGGGTGATTTGGTCCGCTAAAGCGTCGTAAGCACGAAAGAATTGGAGGCTCTGATGTCAAGTTATGCGTACGCAAGGCGATAATTAAGCTATCTGAGGACGTTGACCAGTCAATCTCACCGAGGTGCAAGGAACCAATTGATATAAAAATTAAGTTGAAAGAGACTTATTATTTCTTCTGCTATACATAAAAAACATAGGATATGAATCAATTACGCAAGGTAAGTATTGTATTGTATGTGTAACATTCGCTCTGGATCTAATCTGCGATGCGAAGGTGGAAATTGCACTACGTGCATGGAAGTAGGCCTCCAATGAGTGGGCTCGCCTGTCTTGGTCGGACCAGGGAACACTCGCCACCGAGGCACCTACGTCAATCCTTGCGACACGAAGGAGCGACACACGTCACGCTGACGAAACCACGCCATCCCAGCCGTCCGATCATCTGCGACTCGAGACATTGGCATCCGTGGAAAGCTTGAAATCACAGGTGTTCTTGGTGAAGGCTGTGCGTAACTTAACTCGTTGCAATGCTAACTTGTTTTGTCCTCATCGAAGAGAACTTTGTATAACCCTACAAGTTAATGGTTCGACGTTTCACGGGAGGAAGATATATTTTATGGGCGCCGGTCAAAGATAAACATTTTAGGAGGAGGAAACAACGTTTTAGAAGTCGTCACATTCGATAAATTTATGGTGTCTTGTAGTAGTCAAATTCGTAAAGGACAGCACGTAAGCCATAGTATTTTGGGGTTAACTACTGATGTCAGAATAACCACGCAACAAGCACGGATAGCACCTCGCAATTGACATTTTACTATTGGTTGACACCTTATCATCGATCGATCTCTTAGACGTCAAACGAGCGACGCATCATCACCCTTTACGTGATATGATGATCGACTCAACTACGGTGTGATATAAAGAGAGAAATTTTTGTATACGAATAAATATTAGTAAATCGCGTAACAGAATTAAATAAAAATTATAATCAAATAGAACTCCAAGATTTATATGGAAAATCCCTTTAACATGAAGTGAAGGGTAAAAATCATATGACAAACTAGAAAAAATTTACTATAAAAATAATGAATGTATAAATCTTAAAGTCTCTTGCATAAAATCCAAACAACAATCACAAGAGAATAACTGGGATACAAAGATTATGTCACTGTGTATAATATCTAAAATTTTCCTAAGTAATCATAATAAGAATCTACTGTAGATCTAATCTAATATGAGATGAGAACAGGATGATTGAAAATAGTCTCTCTGCATTGTTTCTGTCTTCTTCCCTTTTCTTCTTTTATTTTTTTTTAATCATTTTCTCCTCTTTTTCAAATCAAGTTGCTACTATAGTTTTCTACCTCTATTGTTGTAGTTTTCTACCTTATTGCTGTAGTTTTTCTTCTAATTTTTCATAGTCATCACCCCCCCTTTATCAAACGTAAGGTTAAATTAAAAGAGATATGAGCTATTTGCTGTTAAAGCCCATTATGGATTGAACTCGTGGGCGCGCGCGCGCGCGCACACACACACACACACACACATATATATATATATATATATATATATATATATATATATATATATATATATATATATATATATATATATATATAAAAAAAAAAAAAAA